TCCTTCACTACTCTTAAATAGCTGATAGGTCAGGAAAAGTGTGATCTGCTTTCTACTCAATTCCTTGGTACCTCTCTTCCCTCCACACATTCAAACGTCATGCATCCTCCCAACGCCGCGGCCATTTTTTATCCGTACGGCTGAAATGGTCATTTGAACAAATAGCACACCATTATCGTCGGTGCCTGTTAATAGCCAAATCCGAGAACCCGTGTTGGCGTCGTTGTTGTCATGGCAGCTCGATGAATAGCAGAGGACCTTTTGTGAAACTGTGCCTGGTGACTTACAGTGTAACATGTGTGCCGATATTAATGGTGGGTTATTAATAGCAAATGACATGAAGAGTTGCAATGAAAATCCTGTTTTATGGCCCTGATGTGGTTGAATTATTTTTTGATTTAAAACTGAAAATTGTCCCCCACACACACAGATCACAGGTTTCTTAACTTTTTTTTTTGTATCTACGGTCCAAATACCTGAAGCATCAGCAATTGCGGCACACATAACACACCCTTGTTATTGTGTTGATGAAATCAGCCTATTTGAGAACACAAACTGCTCAGAAAAGTGAGCTAGTGGTGGCTCCAAAGTATAAATAAGTCCCTATAAAAACATTTTTGGAGGAGGGAGGGGGAGTTATAACTGACACATCGAAATCGAGAAACATCTTAAGATGCGACTGAGCTCAGATTTATTTGTAAATAAACAAAAGACACATTTTTTTTTCACGAAATGCTCCATTTCAATATCTAAAACGTGACAAATGAAAATGTTTGGCTTCGACATGCAAGAGGAAGATCAATTTGAAAATATAAATGCTAAAAAAAAAATTTAAAAATCACATTTGGCCTAATTTTGCTGTTGTTTGTTGTGGTTCATCCCATTTGGAGAAGCATGCAGAAGTAATCAGTCAATCATGCTCTTCAGTGATGATTCAATTAGAACGTTTTCACAGAAAGGCTTCTTTAAACAGGATCACCGTATGCCGGGTGGGATATTGAGGCAGAGCGCTGATTGCAATTACCGATGCTTTATGGACAAAATAATAAGAGATGATTTCTTAAGCAGCCGATGCGTCTATAAATAAAAATCACCATTGTTTAGCTTTTTGATCTCTTGGATTCAAGTGAGATTATGTAAGGGTCCCTAAACCGACTCTTGCGCAACCGTCATTTCTGCCAGCGCTGCCCTGATTAATTAATCAGAAACTACAAAGTGAATTATTAACCAATCTTACAATGTTGTCTTCTTTTTTTTTTTTTTTTTTTTAATGCAATGCACGTTTCACGCTTTTTAAATTATGACAAGTAGACATTGTGAAGGTCTTGTACGAGCAGTCCTGAATTTGCTGGTGATGTTTTATGCATAGCCGAGACCTGCGCGTTGGAGAGTGTTTACGTGTGGCATGGAGAGAACAGAATGTTCAGCCCTGCTGCCCACTCTTCATTTCATTCTCGGGTCCAAATCATTGCTCGTGTTGGTGTTCCTGAAGAGGTGACCGGGGTGGCCACTCCTGTTTTGCATGGCACCGGGGGGCTCGACCCCCCGCCCCCACCGACATGACATCCTGTCAATCTGCCATGCAAAGGCTGTAAAAAAAAAAGAGCAATATTTTATCAGACTGGCCGCTTCCAGACTTTCTGACTTGATCAAAGTCCACTCATTTCCTGAACTCTTTCCTTTTCACTCCTAAAATGTCTTGTTGCCGGGCAACATGAAGTTCTTGAGACGAGCTCTCAGCAGTGTTTTGCTCCCCTCTGCCAAAGATGAATGGTGTAAAGCTGCCAGGAAATCCACGGAACATATGTGACGACGTTCGAGCGTCTCTTCCATTGACAGTTTCAGCCCCCCCCCCCCCCCGCTTATCTGTGCTTCTCTTTCCTCTCTGTGAAGTGACACCCGGCATCCGTGTGTTTGTGTGCACTTTTACTCTTGCGAATGTGCTCGATATCCTGTCGCATGGCCATTTGGTGGCCCCGTGTATCGGTGCGTTTTTTTTTTTTTTTTTAGTGAGACAACATCCACTCTCCATAATCGCTTTTAAGACCTCGTCTCAAAAATGCTAATCTTAACTCTTTAACTCCACAAGTTGTACATGTACGTCTTTTTAAAATTAGGCCCCGCCTACCAAGGACGTACTTGTACGTCCAAGTCTTTTTTTTTTTTTTTTGCGTCATAGAGAGGAGGAGGGTCTGATGCAATCTGTGAATGGGAATAAGCCGTTTGCATTGTAAATCATGTCAAAAAAGCGACCAGTAGGTGGCAGTGGTGCCTCACGTGCTTGAAATGCATGCTTTTACGAAAAGCTCTTTTTCTCCATTTTTTTACCCAGGAATCGCCATTTTCATGAAACTTAGCCATTTTGTAATGCCGATTGCTGAAGAATGGAACAAGATAGAAAATATATATTTTTTCTATCCAAACTTTATTTTGGTAGGCTCCATGTTTATATAGCATTCGAACCGAATATTCTGTGGGACTTGCAACATCAAAATCCAGTAAAACGCTGGGATTGAGGGTGTTTCTCCAGTGAAAATGGCTGGGATTGAATGAGTTAAATTACATGGCAACCCTTTCCTGCACCCTGTAACCTGATAACATGATAAGCTGTCCACTGGAGTAACCGCTGTCCCTCAAAGGGTTCATTAAGCTTGTGGCCAAAGATCTGAAGTATCTTCTGAACACACGGTGTACCTAATAAAGTGTACCGTGAAAGCATCGAACCATGTTTCCTACGTCTTTTCGAGTTTGAGAAGAACATACATGTCAAGCTGCCCTCCCTCATCCACGAGTTGACTCAATGTGTGCGGAGATTGGTGGTGCGGGCGTACGCTGACAGAATTAGGCCCTGGGGATGTTTTCTTTAAGCTCTGCTCCGCCTTCGTGTTTAATATGAGCTGGCACCTACACATTCAATGCTGGACTGATTCGGGCTCCGCGGAGCCGGGGCTGGGAGGAACCAGGGGATGTGTAGCGCTTGGCGTTGGTGTTTGATGAACGCAGATAGGTTGAGACACGGAAGTCGTACCTGCAGCATCGCACCACGTTGATTCGTGCACCTGGTTTGGACCGCGCTCGGCTTCCACGAGAGGATGAATGTGTCACAATGTCCATTAGGGTTATTACTCCTCTGACATCCATGAAAGCAGTCAGAGTGTCCCATCATGTGTTGGCAGAGCATGAAACCCACACTGGCATGCACAGTCTAATGTGACACATCAGATTAGGCTACTCGAATTCCTCTCGCTTCTCTTGCCGCCATCCACTCTTGTGTTGACTGCGAACATGCCCAAACTTTTTTTCACCATCCTTCTGACCGGTGTAAGGGATGATGCAGACCAACTTTCTGAAGGGGTTGAGATTTGAGATCATTCGGTGAGTGCTTTTTGGGGTTCATTTCATGACAACCGTCACCTGGGATGGACCAGGTACTGTCTCTACTTTTCAAGACAATCGAAGGATTTTCTCTTGAGGAAGCGACGGATCAGAATCTTCATTTTTTTTTTTTTTTTGCGTAAGTGGCAACTTCAGCGCACAGTCAAGTATGTGCCGGTTAACAGAAGCTGACGACGTTTAGCGAAAGCTAATATGCGATCCAAGAAAAGGCAATGCAGCTCAGCTTACCTTGTGCCTTTGACATACATGCTAGTTTCCCTGCATGATCACGGATCTTTGCTCAACTTACCTGATCATTTGCTGTGAGGTATATTTAGAAAGAAGCGGATTAGGACAAAAACACTGAAAATGGCACTTTGGCATTTAAAAAAAAACCCTAAAAACAACCGAGGCATGGCTATGTGAGTCTTTTGGCCGCTACTTGGCGCCCCCCTGGGTATTCTTTTGACTTGTCCATTTTGCCTATCTTGTTGCTGCACTCCCAATTCCAGAAAAAGAACGATAGAGTCTTGTTCATTTAATTCTGGCATTTTATGTAATTCGGAAGTAGCAGAAAGTAGCATGCAAGCTAACCCCGTAAGAGCTATTCTTGTTTTATTCCTGCGCTATCCTCCAGTAACTCTGGTGAGAACCGCGTTACTGTTGTTGATGAATAAGTTTCCACCTCAAAGCCCCCCCC